GGAGTAGAGCAAGAGTTAGAATTTAGGGTCCTTTACCTGGTGAGGGGGGCACCTCGCATTTATACTTGAGCTGTCGGGTGGTAGGTAGAGATGGACGTCCCCGATGAATGCCGTACGAGGGCGGTCAGCAGGCATTGCGGGGACGCAGGGGCGCTCCTCTATTGGCTCCGTACGAGGGGAGCAGGGTAGCCCCCGCCATGCCGAATCGCGGCCCCAGGTCTGGTGCTCGTGGGCTGGGCCGGGCTACCCCACATCAAGTTTGTTTCAATTGGGTGAGGGCTCATCTAAGTTAACAAACCCAGTTGGTCCAAATCTACCCCCAATGGCTTTGGTGAAATCTAACCATGTTAACTGGGGATGGCTTTTTTCGATACCACTGGTACAAAAGACTAGCCTCTTTGTCCAAGTGGATTGAGGCTACAAAGACTCATTGAGGAGCCGAAGTCTCACGAAATTTGAAATATCTCTCTGCCCGGTAGAGCCAAGGGATAGGATCCTCACCTGTAAATACTAGAAAATCTAATTTCCCAACACATCCAATTGGTGGCGCATCGTTCTTTGATCTACTGGTACTCAAACTCTCTGATTCATCGTCCTTGCCCTCTACTAGAGTGACATCATTGCCGATAAAGCCTTCCTAATCTCCTTTGGATCACCAGAAAGTTTGTGGAGATTGACTTCCATTCGATCCACTCGTTCTTCAACACGGGCTGATCTAGTGGTAGGCATGGTTGAAGGTCAAGCTCTGATACCATTTGATAGAACTGAGCTGCTTTGAGGGAGCTCAACCTCCTCAATGGTTGCTTGGGGAAAAGAAAGAGGAAAAGGAGAGGGAATTTGGGGAGAATTCAGATCTACCTCCAGTCGATGGAGAAGTAGTCTTATATACTCATTCATTGCAGTTTGTTAGACAGTTACAACCACGAGAGATTAAGGCTGATGTGACCTTCTAGTGCAAACAAATTTCAGAGGTGCTATCAGATTTGGAGCTATAAGAAAATGATGCAATAATCTTACGAGATAGATACATTTTTACAAAAGGTATCAGCTTTACTAGCGCACGCCAACAAAAGTTATGAGATCCTTCGACACATTAGACACTGTTACAACAACCTAACATTCTATAGCAGAATGCAGTATGGTTGTTAAAACCGATCCAGAGACTGAACCGGTCAGGGTTCGGTTATTGGGTCGAATGGTTCGACTGTTCAAACTGAATACTTGGCTCGTTCTGATAAAAAATTTTAAAAAATAAAAAATGATCAAAATCAACGATTTTTGAGGAAAATCTAGTTTTTGGGAAAAACGGTTCCTGGTTTTTCCAGTCCAATCTGACTTTGAAAACCATAGAATGCAGAATAAAGACATTACTGAGGTTGCAACCTCTACCCCTTTATTTAATTATGTATTTCACAAATTTTATTTTTCAAGTTTATTTTTTAAAACCTCTAATACAGTACAGCCCCTTGTCTTGTGCCAGATTTTCCCACCTTGTACAAACAGACTAAAATTTGTGAGGTGGGAAAATCTGAAATTTCCCTAAAAAAAGCTCGAAGGAAAAAACAGAAAATGAACACCGACGACAGGGGAGCACCAAAAAACCATGAGAATGACAAAAATCCACTGCAGACTCTAAATCACTATCACAAATTGTTCTTAATCAAATGGGAAGTTGACCAACCCATTTCCCAGCATCACCACAATGAAAAGGGCAACGAACCAGAAAAGCATGCTTATGATAAATAAAAAAGTATATAGGAGTGCTAAATACAATATAATTGCAAACGCATACATCCCCACCAATCAAACACAAATGACAAAGAGGAAGAAGCATCGGATGATATGAAGTTATGTAATTAGAGTGAGTTGTCTCGAACAGTAAAAGCACCAGCACAATGGGGAGAGGAATACTAGACTATGTAAATCTGCCATATAACTAAAACTGTTCTCTAAATGGTCCAAGAGCGAAAAGGGAACCACGGTTGATGCAATTCTGCTTTATTAGAATCAATTAGGCATGTAACCTGGTTAAACCGAATCAGAAGCCAACCGGCACTCAGGAAAGAAAAAGAAAACAATATTGATATCTCAGGCACTACATTGGAATAACTAAGTAGGTGTTTGGCATCGGTGCTGGGAATACAGCACCATGTATGAGTTGTAAATACTGTCTTTTGTTTGTTTGGAAACGGTGCTATCGTATAGATTGTTTTCTAGGAAAAAAGTACTGGTTTTGTTTGACTCCAATGCTGTAGAACTGTTTTCAGCATTGGTCTATATTATTCAATGACCAAGATGATACCATATTAATACCACATCATTGTATCGCAGGCAGCAACAAATTATTTTCCAAAAAAACATTAAATTTAGTGTTTTGTCAGACCATACTTTTCCGATGTCCAATGCATGGTCTGAAGCAACATTTATTTTTTGGAAAAACGGTATCAAACAAAAGGGCATTTTCTGAAACACCACTTTTTCTAATGTGATCAGAAAATGGCATTGATGCTGAAGTGTCCTTATGCCGTAATGCGTTTTGACATCAAATTGATCTATCTAGAGGTCAAATAAAGGTTTGTTTGTAATCGGTAGTCGATTTAGAGGTTAATCTAAGAGTTTCGAACCTTCCTCTGCAAGTACTTAGGATTATTCTCTGGTCTTGCATGATGCGCACAAAAACATTTCTTTGCTCTTAAGAGGGATTTTTAAGAGGAAGTAAATTGGTGGTCAATTGATGTGCACAAAGACATTTATTTGCTTTTCTTGAAAGGGATTTTAAGAGGAAGAATATTGGTGGTCAATTTAGGGGCTAATTAGAGAGTTTTGAACCCAACTCTGCTAATAGTTAAGATTATTCTCTGATCCTGCATGATACACACAAACACATTTCTTTGCTTTCTTCAGAGGGATTTTAAGAGGAAAAAACATGGAGTAACGCAGTTACTTTTAGATCATACTTATGTTGGAAAAAAATTAACATAAATGAAAAAAGCTACATAATATAAGAAAGAAATAAGTACAGCGTATTGATTTGCTCAATCAATAATTAGTAACAAACATCAAGTTGAGAAATGGTTGCATACAATAACCTCTTTCTAAGGTTGACAAAATGTTGCCTAACTACTTTCACAAATTCAAGATGTGGAGAACAAGATACAGAGGTGATTTATCTAATCAATAAGGCTAACAAAATGTTTGCTGATTATGTTCACAAATTCAAGGTGTGGAGTAATAAACTGGGGAGTGAATTTTCTAATATATTTTACAGTAATAGAAAATATTGAGTTAAATGACAGTACAGGATCTGGGATTAAGAGTAAGTTCAATATTAGTCAAATAGAAAATTAGTCACTCAAATGATAATCTACATTTAGAGTGGCTACCACGCTTTACTAGTGGTGCTCAACAAACATGAGAAACTTGACGGTTTATCTTGTTCACATAACTGAGAAATAGCTCTTTATTTATTTGCACTGATCATAGATGAACTGATTGAACATGTTCAAGAGGAGATCCCATGGTGTATGTTGTTTGCTGATGACATAGTTTTAATTTATGAAACTAATGAAGGATTTAATGAAAAAATAAGTTTATGAGCAAATACCTTAGAAACAAAAGGTTTTAAAATAAGTAGGACTAAAACAGAGTATATACTATGTAAATTTAATAATAATAGGAGTGTATGTTGTCTCCACTTATGATTGGTGATGAAGAGACGATAACTAAATGTGATCATTTTTGGTATCTTGGTTTGATAATTATAAAAAGGAGAGATTGAGGAGCATATCACCGATAGAATTAGACCAAAAAGGACATGGATTGTAGTAAGAAATGATTTAAGTGCTCATAACAATGGATGTGGCACTAAACAGAACAAAATGGCAAAACAAGATTCATGTAGCTGACTCCATATAGCTTGAACAATGCTCAGATGATGATGATGATTTTAAATTCACTTCCTAGTTCTACAGACTTTCCCCATTAGCCACTCAAATTTTGTTTCTCAAGTAGAAACATGTCAAAGTTAGAAAATAATTAAGAAAACTGATTTAAAAAGAATAAGGAAATCATAAAAAAACAGCATAGGAAAGTATAGAAAATCCCTGCTTAAAAAATACCGTCAGAAACCTATAAAATTCTAATTTTCTATTTTCTGTCATACATTACTACACATATCATAACTCACCAACAAGAAACAAAGTATAGTATGCAAACATATGCTAATGCTAGAGAACAAGAAGCAGTAAGCACTCAAAAAAAAAACTGCAATAAACTGAAATAAACAATGGAAATGAAAGCCAGTGAAAAATACAGGTGGTTAAAAATGGAATTGAAATTTTGTGAAACTCTTTCCTTGTAACTGAATTAAAAGGTTAGGACCATATGATGCAGTAGGGCTGGAACAAACTAACACAAGACAGACAGAGAGAGAGAGAGAGAGAGAGAGAGGAGAAGGGGTAGAGAAAGAGAAAAGAGAGAAAAATCTCAAGGAATCACTCCAAGGGGTCCTAGAATCACTCTAGGGTTTGTAGGAATCACTCCATACAGAAAAAGAGCTCTAAAGAAATATTAGTCCATTCATTAGCTTCAAAAGGAAGATGATACATCTATTTATAGAGTGACTTCTGTGACTCAGAATACTGTTCACCATAATTACAAAAATGTCTCTCCTTGTCTTGTGCATCAAAAAACACAATAACTTTCTAATTGACAAGATTAGAACAAAGTTTCTAGATGAAGCAGCAAATGGTGCAGAACAAAGTTTCTAATTGACAAGATTTACGTGGGAGAAAACTCATCTACAGTTCCACGAAGACCCTCTGAAGGATCAGAATATGATATCTAACAAATTTAAAAATTTCCTTTAGAGAAAGAAAATAAGAAATAAAAACGTACAGGGATAATAAATGATATGATAATGTTATCCCAAAAACTATCAAGATTCAAGATATTCTTAAAACATCTTGTTCTTGCTAATGTTATACTAAAGTCTATCAAAATTCAAAATACTCGTCTTGCTCTTGCTAATATTATCATAAAGCTATCAAAATTCAAAATACTCATCTTGCTTTTGCTAATATTATCCTAAAAACTATCAAAATTCAAGATATTCTTACAATCATCTTGTTCTTCTTTCCAGCAGATAACAATAGCACTTTCCCATCAATAATATCTCCCACTTCAATTGACCTTATCTCACTCTCAACTCTGATATTATTCAAATAAAGGCCCCCTTGCTTCAATAGGCGCCGGGCTGCTGACTTACTCTCTAGTAAACCTGTGGAAACAGAGAGGTCAACAAGAGAAGCATTCAAAACCTGCTTGTAATCCAAAGTGCAGGAAGGGACATCCTCAGCGATCCCTTCAATGGTCTTCCAATCTAAAACAGTCTCAGCTCCTGGCCTCAATGCTTCAGTTGCCTTCAAGGCTTCCAATAGACCCTCTTCACCATGGACAAAACGGGTCACTTCTTCTGCAAGCCTCCTCTGAGCAGAATTGGGAGTATATCCAGGTCTTTTCATTCCCTCTTCCAGCTCATTGATCTCCTCCATACTCAGGAAGGTAAGAATCTTGAGAAACCTCACCACGTCCACATCTGGGACGGAGAAAAAGTACTGGTAGAACTTGTAAGGAGATAACACTGAGGGAGACAACCAGATAGCGCCATCCTCAGATTTCCCAAACTTGGTTCCATCACTCTTCAATAGAAGAGGAAATGTCAAACCATAAGCTCCATCTACCTGAAGAATCTTCCGAATAAGTTCAGTCCCAGCAGTAATATTTCCCCACTGATCACTCCCCCCTATTTGAACATTAACCCCCTCATTCTCGAACAAGTATAGGAAATCATAGCCCTGCAACAACTGATACGTGAACTCTGTATAGCTCATTCCTTGTTCGGATTCCAATCTCTTCTTAACACTCTCCTTGGCCATCATTGTACCCACCCTCGCAAATCGACCAACTTTACCTAGAAAATCCAAAAATTTGACGTCCTTCCACCAATCATAATTATTCAAAATTACAAAAGAATCACGAAGACCCAGACCTGAGTTCTTGATTTTCTCATTATCGGCAATCATAGCTAGATTTCCTTTAGGACCCTCTTTCGAGTTTCTATTTTGATCCCATCTACCCAGAATTCTAGTTATTGTATTAACAATGCCTGTTGTGTTCTTCTCTAATGTTTCGACATCCAGTTCAGGCCTCTCCAAGCTTTTACCAGATGGGTCCCCAATCCTACCAGTTGCACCGCCGATCAAGGCGACAACATTGTGACCGCATCTCTGAAACCACGACAATACAATAATTCCAAGCAAATTTCCCAAGTGTAAACTTTCAGCAGTGGGATCGAAACCACAGTAGACCTTCAAGGGATTGAGATTAGGGTTTGAACAAGCTGACCTGAGATTCTCGCTGGTTATCGATTCAAGGAGGCCCCGTTCTTCCAGAATTTCCACGACATTAAGTCGACTAACAACATCGGAATCTTGGCTTTTCGCTTCAATGGCTCTTTGCGTGGATTGAATACATCTTATAGAGAAGAAGGTGGATTTTAGGGACGTCCTGAGGAGAGAACGGTGGTTGCTGCTACGCAAGAGAAATCTGGATGTTCGAAGGTTACTTTGGAACAAGAAAGAGAGCTTATTATTGTTGCATAAAAACCTAGCAGACACCATAGCTGCTACGCTTGCCATAGCTGCTACGCTTGCGTACACAGCAACCGCAGTCTCCTAAAACATACCCGCCACCCAAATCACCGGCCACCAGTGAAATTTTGAAGATAGAGAAATGAAATCTGAGATTCAGACGTGGAAACCCAGAACCGGATAACCGAAGGAAACGGTTTAAGGCTGCCCTTAGAAGTTAGAAATAAACCATGACCGATCCGGCTCGGTTCTAGTTCGTCATACTTCAAGGTTCCACTATGATACCGAAAAGACATGATACCGGGAAAGACTTCTGCTCCTGACTTCTGAGGGAAAAGTGAAAACTCATTTTACGGGAATTCCAGGAATGGATTGATGTTTTCCCACTTCGACCCACCTTGATTGAATCGTCGTTTGCTATGTGTTCATCATGGTCGCTATCTAATTCGAACTCCAAGGCCAGTCAATCATTTTAAGACGTTTGAACACCGAGTTCTCTCATCTCAAATGCTTTCTTTCGCACAGTGTCCCTTCGTGTCTCCCATTATTCTCAAACTCTCTAGCGTCCAGGAGCAAATTGGATCTAAGAAGACCACAAACAAAGAAACTCTGCATTTGAAACTCCCTCCAGAAGAGCCTCCCTTATTATTCGACTCTAGAGCAGCGGTACATCTCCTGAACTCATGCACTTCAGCGAGGAACCTGAAACTGGGGCTTTGCATCCACGCGCATGTTTTGAAATCTGGGCTCCATTCAAATGTATTCGTCAGTAATTCTCTTTTGGATTTTTATGCAAAATGTGGGCGCTTGGAAGACGCTTCCAAATTGTTCGACTGGATGCCTGAGAGGACAGTCGTGTCTTGGACGTCAATGATGATGGGTTATTGCCAGAACGAAACTGTCGATGAGATCATATCGATTTTTAGGCAGATGCTGTTGGAAAATATCCTCCCTAATGAATTCACGTTTGCCGTTTTATTGCAAGCTTGTGGGAAGAACCGTAACTTTGATTTAACAGAGATGGTTCATGGCAATCTTGTTGCAAACGGCTTTCTCGAGCACCAGTTTTTACATAATTGTCTGATAGACACATACTCTAAGTGTGGATTCTTGATGGGTGTCGAGAAATTGATGAACAATTCGAGTTGCAGAGATGTGATCTCTTGGACCTCGGCCATATCAGGTTGTATATCAAATGGACTGATCGAGAGGGCCTTTGTTTTATTCTTCCGCATGCTAGAAGATGGCATTGTGCCAAATCAGATAACGATTATAAGCATGATTCAGGCATGTTCTTTATCAGAGGAATGGCGATTATTTATGTGGATTCATGGTTATATAATAAAATCAGACTTGTGTCGGGATACCCTTGTCATGAATTCTCTTGTTGAAATATACTCCAGAAACGGCTATTTCCTCGAAGGAATGAAGATTTTTGGCAAGTTCTATTTTACAGGTGACTGTCGGTATCTCAACCCAGAGACAATGGCCAATCTTCTTCAGGGATGTGGTCACTTGGAGTGTTTGAGACAAGGGAAACAGATACATGGGTACCTGATCAAGCACCGATTCTTTCCCTCCGTGGTTGTAGAGAACTCTCTTATGGACATGTACGCAGAAAATAAACAGACTGAATCTGCGTTTAGAATATTTACAGAGATGAACAAGAGGGACGTAATCTCCTGGAACACCATGATCGCATGCTTTGTCAAGAATGGTCTCCCTTCTGAGGCATTGGAGCTTTTCCATGAAGTACATGCCAATGGAGGAGATACCATAAAGGGGCCTGACTTTGTTACGGTTCTAACTGCGCTCCAAGCTTGCTCAGAATTAGCATCCTTGCAACTTGGCCAGATCATCCATGGCTACCTTATTAGGTCAGGCTTCCTGTATGATGTTTTCATTCAAAATTCCCTGATAGACATGTATGGAAAATCAGGCCATGCAAAATTTGCGGAGCAGATCTTCAAGGACATGCCTACTAAAGATTTGGGTTCTTGGAATTCGATGATTGCAGCATACGGCATTAATGGAAATGGAACCTCTGCTCTGCAAACATTTTCAAATTTGAAGGAGTTGAGTGCTCACCAGCCAAATGCAATCAGCTTTCTTCACGTTCTTTCGGCCTGTGGGCATTCTGGATTGGTGAATGAAGCCTTCCAGTACTTCAACAGCATGGATAAAGAATATGGCATTCAACCAAGCACAGAGCATCTCACTTGCATGGTGGATATGCTAGGGAGGTTAGGGCGGCTTGATGAAGCAGTGGATTTTATACAGAGGACGCCTTTGAGGCCTGGGCCATCTGTATGGGGAGCTTTATTGGGTGCTTGCGCATTGTTTGGCAATGTCACGGTAGCTGAGAGAACTGTAGAAAATCTTTCTGCTTTGGAACCTGAAAGCAAGGTGTGGAGAGTTGCACTGTCAAATGTTTATGCGGGGATTGGAAGATGGGAAGATGCTGCAAAGGTAAGAAGATTGGAAATGGACGGTAGAGATGGAGTGAGAAAGAAGGCCGGATGGAGCAGTGTGGAGGTCAGAGGGGAGAGCCACAGATTCATGGTAGGGGATACCAGACATCCTGATAGCAAGAATATCTATGAGATGTTAGACGTGATCAAAAGACAACTTGAATCTGTTTAGCTTGGCCTAGTAAAGACAACTTCTCCAACAGCTAGTTCTAGGAGCGAGGGATCACTCCATTTGCATCAAAGGGGATTCTGTCACTCTCATCTCGTGTATTGAGAAGAAGAAGATCCAGACTCCGTCGAGATTAAAATCTTTAACCGAAGATGGCTCAAGTTATCGAGTTGAGATCACCTGCCAAAAATATGTTCCAACCCTCTCAACTTATCTAACACTGCGCATCTCACCATAAGACTGGGAGTAGGACCCGCCATGCATGAGATGTGCACCGATTCTATTTTTTAGTAATTGCATAGTAGCTATACAAGCCTGAGGTATTTAGAGGAGTATTGAATCAAGACCTTTGCACGCCATCTAATCCTCCAATCCGTAATTTGGTTAGCTTTCCTAATAGGCATGATAGTAATTCAGCATCTCAGACAACTTGGAGCAAAAGAGTGGTGATTAAATTTATATTGTGAGTAAAGTTGTACAAGGTAACATATCCATAGTAGAGTGCCTTTGATATTTACAAGCATAATAAGCTAAAAGATGAGCTGATGTGTTCTTAGTTCTATATATGTAAATGAATTTTAAATCCCTAAATTGACTTTAGAGATGCAAAATCCGTCCAAAATGCACTTGATCGATCCATGTATGTTCCATTACTAGAAGGTTTAATTTTTTTACTATTACTTCAGCATCCAAGAAAACTCGCACTGATTGGCATTGCAACGCTATAGCAGCTTCTAAACCGTTGATGACTGCACGAAGCTCTGTGTCATAACTGTCAATGGCTCTGCAAGCCGACCCTTGGGCTGCAATGATCTGCCTATCATCGGATTTCTTGATGACAAAACCAATGCATGCGTTGTCTGCATGTTGATCATAAGATCCATCAATGAATACTAAGATAATGGTTCTCAGTTATTGGGCTTAGGGGCAATGCCTTTAATTTGTCTTGACAGAGAGTGAGACATGAATCAACAATTATTTCATTTGCTTTGTCCAACAAAAAAGAGGGATTCACATCCTTGTTTAGATGAAACTTCTTGTTGTGTGCCTCCCAGATCATATATAGTACTTAAAATTTGGACAGAAAGCATAATCTGATATCTACATTAAAAGATTGCCCAAGTGACTAAAGCCAATCCGAAATAAGTTGTTGTAGGTGTTCACCATTCACTATATCGGAGTTTATACCAAGTTGGGCTTGAAACCAAACAGCTCTTGCAAAGTCGCATTTGAAAAATAGATATGAAAAGCTCTCTTCTTCATGATTGCAAAAAATGCATGATACCTCTGTTTTTCTATTCCACGGTCTCAACTTACTTCTTGTGGGGACTCCTCCCCATAGAGCCTTCCATGCAAACACTTGGTACTTGAAGGGCACTTTGGTTTGCCAAATTAATGACCATTTAAAGGAGGACACAGTAGAAGATGGATTTTGATTGAGAAAAGTCTGGTATGTAGATTTCACGGTATAAGTACCCAACTTATTTCTCTTCCAAATTAGATTGTCAACACTTGTGGATGGTGTTATTTGTATAATATACTCAATTGAATCCTGTGTAAATGAATTTTGAAGTAGAGAAAGATTCCATGTTCCATTGGGATTAAGAAAATGATTTACTTTGATATTACTCACCACCTGTGGTTGCAAGGTGGAAGGAATGCCTCCTCTGATGGTTGGAACCCAAGGATCAAAATAAGCATCTTTACGAGTACCATCTTGAACTAACCACAGAAGGTCAGCTTGAATGTCCCTAAGCAACTTTTGAACCTGCCTCCGCCATTGTGATGCCCGACTAATATGCTTGGTTTTAAACGGGCTAGTGTGTGAGAAGTATTTAATTTTTATATTACTTGCCCAAAGAGAATCAGGATTGGAGAGTAATCTCCATATTTGTTTACCAAACATTGCCTTGTTCATCAAATGAGTATCACAGAAGCCCAAACCACCTCTTGATTTTGGCAAACAAAATTTGGCCCATGAGACTGTGTAGAGTGTTGTCGGTGGATAACCCTTGCCACCAAAAGCTTCTTTGAATTTTATCGATTGCAGTGGTTATTGTCTTAGGAAGCATTGTGGTGGTCATAGTGTAGAGAGGAACAGCTTGTGAAACTGTCTTTATAAGTGTAGTACGGGCTGCCTGAGAAAGCAATTTGGCTCTCTTAGTGTCTGTTATTGCCTCAATTCTTTCAACCAAATTTTTATGGTCAGATGAGACATTTTTAGAAAGCCATAACTTTGCACCCAAGTAAGTACCTATATCCTTGGAGTACTGAACACCAACCACTTTAGAGAGAAATTTTATGCTGATTGTGCACATTTTTCTTGAAAGCAATGCTTGATTTTGTGAAATTTGCCTTTTGCCCAAAGATTTGTTCAAACTCCATGATTATATCTTTGAGCCTCTTTACTTGTCTCAATTCTGCTCGGGAATATAGAATACAATCATCAACAAATAATAAGTGACTTATTGGCTGTGAAAGCTTACCAAATTTGAATCCATCAATATGTCCAACAGTAACTTTGTTCAACAACTGGATAAGAGCTTCCATTCCAATTATAAATAAGCAGGGAGATAGAGGATCTCCTTGTCATAGTCCTCTTTTAAGTTTGAAGTGACCCATAACTTCCCCTCCTAACTTGATCGGGAAGATTGGAGTTTCCATACATTGAGCTACCATGGCAATCCACTTGTTAGGTAAATTCATTCTTCTCAATACTTCCTTAATGAATTCCTAACCCATACGATCGAAAGCCTTGGTCATATCTAATTTCAAGGCGAGCCAACCCTTGCCTTTTTTCTGTTTTCTCATTTGGTTTATCATTTCCCTAGCTAATATAATATTATCCATGCACATTTGATTTTTCAGAAAACCTAATTGGTTCTGAGAGATAATAATCTAGAGGAGAGGCTGCATTCTTTGAACCATCCACTTAGTAATGATTTTATATAAAGCATTACATAAGCTTATAGGGCGATAATGGCATGGACTTTCAGCAGCTTTCTGTTTAGGGTTGAACACAAAATTTGTATTATTTATCTAGACAGGTAACTGACCTATATGGAGGAACTGAAGCACAAGATTGTAGATGCCCATTCCCAAAATATACCAGTATTTCTGGTAAAAACAAAGCCGAGAAACCATCAGGTCTAAGGGCCTTGTGAGGATGCATAGCCCTAACTGCAGCGGTTACCTCTTCAAAAGTAGGTGGCGTCAACAAGCTAGCTATCTGGAGATTAGAAAGAGTGGAGAATTGGACATTATCCAATTGGCTTGAAGTGAAGAATTCCTCCTCATTACCATGTTGTTCAAGAAGGTGCTTGAACGACTGCATAATCTCAGTTTTATCAGTAGTCCATTCACCTAACTGAGTTTTAATACAGTTTATTCCTTGTCTTTGTCTCTACTTGATGAAAGAATTTACTAACCATAATTCCCTTGATTTCAGATGCCATAATTGTTCTTCTTTATTAAGCCAATCATCATACTCCTTTTGCAGTCTTTGGTATACTTCTAATTCGCTAGAAGTGAGGTCCCTCGATTGCATGTTTTGTTGGCAGGTGATATTAACTCCCATCGGTTAAACTTGAAAATGGAACATTTTCCTATTGGCAAAATAAAATTGAAGTGGCAATTCAATTAGATTTTAGATTTTTCTTTTTTTTTTTTGGTAAAATTAGATTTTAGATTTATAGTGTGGACAAGTTGAACTCGATGCACCTAAATCTCATTAACTTTCCATCTTCCGATGTCAATATATGGGATTGGTGGGAATCCCTATGGGGTGTTCCAGTTCTGTATGAAGAATATTGCTTCAATACAGTGAAACCGGATCCAGTAAAACCCATTCGGTTAAATCTTTATAGCCTTGCATTGAAAATATCTCCCCATGAAATAAAGTACGAAAGTATGGAAATGTTACCAATGCAAGGCTGTAAAGGCTGTTTGAATAAACGAAGTTTGATCGAACTGTAGCCGATCTCCAATTCAATGGCATTTGCGGAAGAATAGAGCACTGAGATGTCCATGTGGGACGCCCATGGGTCACGGTTTATGGGGCACAAATGTGAATTTAGAAACAACCAAGTTTTTAAAAACTGAAAATTGCAGATTATTACCTTATACTTTGGACTTAATCTCACTTTGGTCTACAAACTTCAAAAGGTGATGGGACCTTCAGGATTTTGAGTTGCCCACCCATCAATTAAAATGGAGGTGATGGGACTTCTAGAATTTGCATTGAAAAGAATTTTTAGTTTATTAGTGACTTTAAGGCCCGAGGCACCAACTAACTAGTCTGGGTAAAACTCGGTTGGGAGAGGGAAGGGGTTAGGCACCCCTCTCCCAAGTCCGATAGGTGGGATCCACACGGGGTTCCATATAGGCAAAGCACAAGCACAAATAAGTAATAAAGATAAAGACACAAAACAAGCAAACAAATTAACCAAAAAAGCTCCCTATTTTATTATTTTATTATGAATTCTATTTTATATTTATTTATTATGTTTATTTGTTATTTTATTATATTTATTTATTTATTATATATATTTTATTGTTTTATTAATTTTTAATTTTATATTATTTTATTTTTCTCTTTTTTACTTGTTATGCTTTATTAATTCTTCTTCTCTTTTTTATATTATTTTTATTTTTATTATTATTATTATTATTATTATTATTATTATTATTCTTTTGCTTTTATAATATTTTCTTTTTTCTATTCTAAATTTATGTTCACCTATTTGTCATTATTTAATTATCTTATTCTTTCTATATTTTTTATTTTTTTATTTATTTTTCTATATTTTTCATTTTTCATCCTTTTACCATTTTCTCAAAGGGCCCTATTTCTATGTTTATTCACTGAATTTTTCTTTTGTTCATTCTACTCAACCCCAAAAAATAGGTTTTTATATTTCCCCATTAATTCCCCTTCTTCTTAATTTTTTTATTATATACATTTTTTAAATATATACTCTTTTATTTCCTTTCTTTTATTATCC